TGTACATGGGGGGGGGGTTCTTGGCGCAGAACTCAGCGGGAAGCGCAGCGCGGTAGCGGGCGTCACTAGTGCGGAGGTGAGTAATGAGGTCAGCGACTGTGGCAAAGGCGGCAAGGTCAGGGAACAGGTACGGCAGCATGAGGCGGCTGAGGGCAGCAGTGGCAGGGGAGGAGTAGCGCGCTACGATAGCGTCATACAAAGACTTAGCAGTCTTGTACTGGCCAAAGTGCGCGCGCTCAGCAGACGGCAGGTGACTACGAACAGCAAGGCGAGCAACAGCGTCACGAGTGGTCCACTGCGAGCGAACCGTACTGTCAGCAGTGGCAGCAGGTGCAGGAGAGACACCGGACGTGTGATCGAGAAGGGATACTCCGTCCCTAGAGTCACACTAAAGAAAGAGCTGCATGTCGTCAACCCACACGTCAAAGTCAACCGCATGCCCCTCAGCATCAAAGGTAAGAACATTAGGGCTAGCCATAGCGGCAGTAGCAGCAGTGGCAGCAGAAACAGCAGTAGCAGCAGGAGCAGCGCGGGCAGGGCAGTGCGGCTCAGTAGGGCGGCGCGGCTCGGCAGGGCGGCGCGGCTCGGTAGGGCGGCGCGGCTCGGCTGGGTGGCGCGGCTCGGCTGGGCGGCGCGGCTCGGCAGGGCGGCGCGGCTCGGCTGGGCGGCGCGGGTGCTTACCAGGGGCGGGTGCAGGGCAGGGCCGCAGCTGGCGGTTAGGTCAGGGCCGCGACTGGGGCGGCAGCAGGGCAGGGCCGCGACTTGGCGGCGGTAGAGCAGGGCCGCGACTGGGGCGGCTGAAGGGCAGGGCCGCGACGAGTCGGCGGCAGAGCAGGGCCGCGACAGGGCGGCAGCAGGGCAGGGCCGCGGCTGGGCGGCGGTAGAGCAGGGCCGCGACGAGCAGCGGCAGGGCAGAGGCCGCGGCGGGCGGCAAGGTCGGGGCCGCGACAAGGGGCGGCAGGGTAGGGCCGCGACGGGCGGCTAGGGTAGGCCGCGACGGGCGGCAAGGCAGGGCCGCGGGTGGCGGCAAGGCAGGGCCGCGACTAGGCGGCGAGGTCGGGGCCGCGACGAGGCGGCGACAGGGCAAGGCTGCGACGGGCGGCTAGGTCGGGGCCGCGACGGGCCGTTAGGGCAGGGCCGCGACGGGCCGAGAAGGCAGGGCCGCGACGGGCGGCACTAGGGCAGGGCGCGCGACGGCGCAGGTGAGGCAGGCGCGAGGCGCGCTTCGGGCAGGGCAGGAAAAAAAAAAATTAATCGTGGTGGGCCCTAAAAAAAACGTTCCCACGAGGGAACCTGCTCAGAATTCCATGTCAGAATCGTGAAGGAACGAATGACTGAACTAGCAAGCAGGTGGGTACAAGTAGGAAACCTAAAAGTGTTGTACCCTATATGAACTACCCCACTACAGCCTACACAGACTATAGCATATAAGTTTGACATGAAGATCAACGTGCCATCAATTACGTTCGCCCGGGGAGGGGAAACTGCATCCACGTAAGTGCATGTGGACCTCCAAGATGCCATCCCTGCGTCGATAGCTGTTGTCTATTGAGAGGCCCACTTACCCGAAACCGCTTCAGCGTAAGTGCGAAGAGTCGGGATATCAACAGCGTCGGGGTCTCCCTCAAGGGCTAGCAGCATGGCACAGAGGTGGGGAGCAGCGGCCGCAAGGAACTATAGCTCCAATTATCTGTCCTCTAGGACGTCACGGCCAAGGGCAAGAACTCCCCCAGCGGACAGAGGACGGGAAGCAGGAGCAGGCACCAACTGGGTGGCGTAGTCAAGGCGGCGGGTGGATGCAAATTCAGTGACAGCGGTGACAAGAGACAAAACGGATGACAGAGACGCGGTAGGGCCAGTCACAAGAGAGGAAAGGACACGAGATACAACATGGCGAGTAGTGCGGAAGAAGTCAAGCAAAGGTGGAGGAGGGGTGTAGAGAGACGACGCATGAGGTAAAGGAAGAAGAGAAGGCGGCGGAACACGACAAGGGAGGGTACGAAGGAACAGGGAGTGGAGGTCAGGAACATGAGACGAGGAACGAGCCCCCGGAGAACGACGGAGGTAGGTCGAGGCAAAAGACGGAGAAGGAGGAAATGGACGAGACAGCAGTGACCGAGCAGGATAACGAGCAGGAGACGCGTCAGGGGGAGAAAACTGAGGACCATAAACAGGTGGAGACGGCGAGTGGTCTGAAGAAGGGGAAGGAAAACCAACAGTCCGAAGACCACTCACAGGTGGCGACGACCGCTGCTGCAGTGGCTGTTGTTGTTGTTGTTGTTGTTGTTGTTGTTGTTGTTGTTGTTGTTGTTGTTGTTGTTGTTGTTGTTGTTGTTGTTGTTGTTGTTGTTGTTGTTGCTGCTGCTGCTGCTGCTACTGCTTCTGCGTCTGCGGCTGCAGCTGCTACTGCTGGTGCAGCTTCTGCTGCTGCTGCCGCTGCTGCTGTAAAAGCTGTAACCTCACCGAACGCCGCTGGGCCACTGGGGTAGGCTCTCCAGAGGTAGTGCCTCCAACACCAGCAGCTCCAGCTCCTGCAACCCCAGCTCCAACACCTCCAGCTCCATCACCCCCAGTGTCAGCACCCCCTGAACCAGCACCACCAGTGTCAGCACCCCCAGAACCAGTACCACCAGCGTCAGCACCCCCAGAACCAGCACCACCAGCCTTAGTATCCTCAGAACCAGCGCAACCAGCGTCAACACCCCAGGGTCCCTGCAACATGCGGCGAATGCGAGGACAACGTAGGGGACTGTGGTGAGGGAGACGACACCGGAGGTGCAGCTGCGGGAGGAGGGGTTGCATGAGACACACCAGACGGGGCAGGACCAGGGTGGGTTGGGAGTACCGGAGGAGCAGGACCAGGAGGAGCGGTGGGAACGAGAAAGAAGGGAGGAGAGGGAACCGGGAGACCTCGGTGGGGTTAGCGGACATAAAAGGACACCAACTCTTCAGAATTGACTTCCCGGGAGTCGAAGAACCGGTGGGTGGAAGGGTGATAGAATTGAAAGTCATGGGCGTCAGCCGGGAAACCAAGGAATACACTGGGGAGGGAGCAGGCCGAGAGCTTGTCCGCGCGAGGATCGCGAACATGCGCAAGGCAGCCCCACACACGAAACGCATACGCGACACCCAGGGACCCGGCCCAGAGACGAGTTGCTGATGCGCAGCATATCGAACCGCATAGGGCCACAAAAAACGGGGCCCACTGGCATGGACCATGGAGGTACGGGCGATCTCCATGACCAAGCCTATGCGGCACTCTGCAACCCCACTCTACTGAGGCAAGTCCGGAAGCATGAAGGACTGTGTGATGCCCTGCTGCGGCAAGTATGTTGGAGCGAAACTCACCCTCACAGTCGGAGTAGATAGCGCACAGGCAGGCCGCGCTGGACACGAGTGGCCAATATCCACGGGATCAGAGCGTTAGGCACGTCGGCCTTCCAGTGCAAAGGAAACACAGTGGTGTAGCGGGAGTAGCCGTCCACAACCACAAGGAAGTAGCTCTTCCGACCCAGCCCAAAGACCGGGGCAGGGCCCCAGACGTCCATGTGTAAAGTTTGAAGAGGCGCCGTGGCTGGCGCGCGGGAGGAGGAGTGAGGGGTGGCGCGCTGCCGACCTTGGACCCAAGGAGTGCACAATAGAGCAGGCAAAGGAGGGAGTGGAGGAGAAGACAACGGGAGACCTGAGACAAGACGCTGCCTAGCCATATGAAGGAGACGAGGGAGGAAAGGGTGACTTAGGCGGTGGTGCCACAGGATGGACGGGTGGGTTCAATTATTTATGTCAGGGGTTTTGGCTACACAACAATATGTGATGTAAGATAACCTATTTTAGGGAGCGGCTCTGGACTCCGGTCTGGTCCGATTGATGGTGGTTCGTTGGTCTGAGGCTGGTTTCATGTGTGACCGTTCACATGATCGTCCGCCTGGTATTAGTGACTGAAAAGGTGATACCCCAAAACCACTGAACGCGTGCAAACAGTTGAGAGAGCTAAGGGCAAGGTTTAGGCTTAGATTAGAAAGAAGGAGAAGAAATACAGAAAAGAGACAAGGGTAGGCAAGGTGCACCACCAACAAGAGTCTACAGTAACTACACTAGGCTATGCTATAGGCGGTTATATAAAGATATATAAATATGTCCTTCGACAAATTAACCTTTTTACTGAATGTTCACGTGCTTTATTTTACCACAAATGTTATCGATTTCACTATTTATCAATATTCACATATTTTCCGTAGGGTTTTCAATCATGCAGAGTTTCGACGGATGCTAGTTTTCGGTTTGGGTTTTGATTCACAGTTTGGGCCACGCGATACGACGAGGGTGCCATTTGTTGGGTACAATAATGGTGTACCCATGGCCAGCTCTGTTGTTCCCTGATTTAACCGTTTCCTCGAAAAGGGTGGTATGTCGAAGAGAAGAAGAAAATTGTGGTTGCCTTGGAAGGAAGGTGTGTACACACCTTTCTTCTTGCCACTTCTGTAAGGGAAATGGAGCGTATTGCAGCCATTCACTTTCCATTTGGTTCGGAAGGAAAATGGGAGGCTCGACACCTTTTTTTGGGCTGACCAAACTTCCTGACAAAAAAACGTAGAGGCATGAAGCTGCCTATATCCCTTTCCTCGACAGTGGTGGTGCTTATCGAACAGCCTCAATATGGAGTTAAAGCGGCCCGTGCGAGTGTTGGACGCGGTGAGATAGTACTACGTGGATCTGTTTAGGGAGTCTCCAACCGTAAGCTCCCAGGCTGGGCTGACGTAAAAAAAAAAAAAAAAAAAAAAAAAACCACTCAGACTTTTGTAGGGGTAAAAATTATTTCAGTCTGAAGCACATTATCCAAAATCTGACGACTCTTATTTTCCAGGATTCACAGAACATTGACTCTGATGAAGTCAGAGTCCACAACTCAACATCAGACTAGTCAGGTGTAGGATTCAATCTAGCTACCTACCTACCTACATCCTACAATCAGAGTAGGTTTAGGCTAACCTAAAGCTACTCTAAAATTGTGGCTGAACCATATCTATCTCCTCAACATCCTCTCCCTCATCGTCTGAGTGAAAAGGGTTGTCGTCCGTGGCCCCATCAGTGGTGGGGTCCTCGTATGCATAGGCCTCCTCATCGTCCTCATCTGACTCCTTCTGATACCAGTCAAACCCGTGCACTACCTTCTCCCGTTCCTGGTCGTCCATCAGCGCCTTCCCCTTGCGCTTCCTCTCTGCTGCAGCGAAGGCAGGTGACTTGGCAGGGCGCCTTGGCTTCTCGCGCCATTTGGCGAGGGTCTCAGCTCCGCCAGGTGCGCGTTGCCCAGCGCGCCTCTCACCCAGGACTTGATCACGTTCTAGCGTGAGAATCCACGCTCGCATTGAACTGTGGACAGCGGCATCATGGCTGTAGCTTGCCACATCCGCATGATGTTCGGCCACCGTCTGAACACCAACACACAAGCAGTGAGATACAAATTAGAGGAGTGATAAGAATGTATGGGAGTGGCACGGCTCAAAACATACAGTAGGAAACGTACCTGGTGGACTCAGCAGCACCCATGAAGTTTCTCATCCCCTAAACCCCCCCCCCCCCCCGTCCTCATGGTTCGCCTCCATGGTAGGCGCCCATGAGGCAAGCTCCTTCTCGGTTGCTCTCAAGTCGAAGCTGGGGAGCTTGTTGTCGAAGATGGCACTACCTTGCGCCCGCGAAGCTGCAGTTGCTTTGGCCACTTTGATGCGCAGAACAGCTTCGTTGGTGCCAACTTGCGGAGATCGGAAAGGTGGAAGTTCAGCTTGTTAACACATTCCGCATAGTTGTTGCCGTACACGTGCCCGTCCAGCTTCATCTCGTATAGCACGTCCACGTGAGTTACGGGCTGTCCTTCACAGTCGACTACATGCACCTTCACTCTCTTTGACCCACCCCTCCCATACAACGTCAGGAATTCTAACAGAACGGGGCTTTCACATCCTCCCATCACGTCCTCGCACTCCAGGTAGCGCCGCCGCAGGTCCCCGATTGCCTCATCAATGTCTTTGGTTATCTCGGTCACGTCGACCTGCATGTGATGACAAGGCGCACACCACATGTTAGTGATTTCATACTACAGAGCGACACCGAACAAATTGCACATTGATTATACCCTTACCTCTCGCTTCTGAAACTTCAAAGTGAGCTCGTTCACGATGCCGAGCACGTCAGCAAGAAAGAAGAGGCAGAACCGAAACTTGTACGAGGTGACAGTCTTGTACAGCTTGTGATTGCTCTCATGCAAGAGAATGATAGAGGCGCCAAGAACCCTGCAAATATGATGGACGGCCTCACCATGAGACAGCCACCTCACGGCGTGGATGCCTTGGACTTCAAGGTTGGTCTTGTGAATCGTACGCTGCAGGTACTAAAATCTCTGGCTCGACTTGCTCGAGCTTGACAATAATGAAGCCATGGCCCGGATGACCTTGTCAATCATGTCCAGGTTTGGACATGTAGTGGCAGCGTCACGGACCGCCAACGCTTCCCAACACACAGCCACACAACACTTGTTAAGAACCATTTATGAAAAGGTGAATCGTAATAACTAGAGCAACACGGCTACAATGCACCTGTGCGCGATACAGTGTGATGACACCAGGTGAGGGATGTGCTCTCGAAGACGAGTGACCAGCCCAGTGTCATACCCTGTCATCACCGAGGCGCCGTCGGAGCCGATAGCGCAGATGCGTTTCAGGTCCACCCCGACGGTCTGCAAATGACTCTAGATGACAGAGAGAAGGGAAGCAGCGTTACACTACTCAACAGGGAGGTGCGCGAAAAAACTCAGTATTAGGGCGGAGACAAACGGCCAGAAGGCCAATTCAAGATCCATATAAATATATAAACAACAACACAAGCAGAGCAAGAAACAATAGGCAAGTCTACAACAAAGTAGGACATGTCTGAACAAGGCTAAGCTACGAACAGAACCTGTGGTGGACACCAGGCGGGAGAGCCTTGGTAAAGACGTCCGCAATGATTTTCGCTAAGGCCACAAAGGCCAAGCGGGGCTGGATGCATCGCTGCACCTCTCGCAGCAAGAAGTACCGCAACTCAATATGCTTCACTCTTCTCTCCAGTCGAGGCTCTCGACGCAGGAGGATCAAGGCCTTGTTGTCAGCGAACAAGGTCAGTGCAGAGCTTGGCCGCTCACCTAGGTCAGCAAGCAAGGAAGTCAGCCAGCGGAGCTCCTGAGCACCCATGGCACGGCGTAGATCTCGGCCTCCGCACTGGACGAAGTCACAGACGATGACCGAGTAGACCTCCATGACACAGCTCGAGCGACTGAAACAGTAGCCCTGGTTCTACATACGGGTCTTCTCGTCGTCTGCCCACAGAAAGTCACTATGCCCGGTAAGTCGCACTGGCTGGCTCGCTCCAAGTACAAACCCCATGCCTGATGTGCTCGCCAAGTACTTCGCTACCCTCTTAGCTGCCGTCCAATGAGGGGGACGGCATCTCACAAAATTTGTTGCAAAACGAGCAAGGACGCTGAGAGGATATGCGAGGTCCGGCTGAGTACAAGTCATCAAGTACATGAGGAAACCCACGAGCTCCGCGTACGGACCACTAGGCTCAACCGGCTCGTTGGGAACAGGAGCAGTGCGTCTGTGGTCAACAACAAGAGGAGTAGGCTGTGTGAAGGAGAACTGGAAGCCAAGCTGCTGAAGGACCTGCTAAACCATGTGTGACTGATTCAAAGTGATGGTGCGTGTTGCTCTGTCCCTGATGATCCGCAAGCCAAGATAGCTGCACATCTCACCAAGGTCGGTGCAGGTGTGTATCTTATGCAATTCAGACTTCACTGAAGCCAGAGCAACCCCGTCTGGAGTAGCAAAGGCCAAGTCGTCGACATAGACTAGGATCAAGAATGGAGTGGGCCGAGAACGAACAAAAAGTGACAGGTCGGTGGAAGAAGGGCGAAACCCGAGGGAAGCAAGGTTGGTACGGAGAGTGTTGTGCCACTCACGAGGTGCCTGGTGCAATCCGTAGTCTGGTCGTCTCAGGCTCCACTAGATCCCAGGGGGGAAAGTACCAGTGAAACTAGGATGACGGCGAAGCCATATCTCCTCGTGCAGGCTTCCCTGGAGGAAGGGAGTGGAAAAGTCTAGCGAGTGCAGTTCGTAGTCTCGCTGTGCAGCGACCTGCAGGAGTACCCAAAGGGTGGTCATATTAGGGTGGGGGAGAATGTCTGAAAGAAGTCTACTCCCTCATGCTGACTAAAGCATCTCGCCACGTAGCGCGCCTTGAAGACAGGCGGCAAACCAGGCGACCGCTTCACCTTGAAGATCCACGTGCCATCAATTACGTTCGCCCGGGGAGGGGAAACTGCGTCCACGTAAGTGCATGTGGACCTCCAAGACGCCATCTCTGCGTCCATGGCTGTTGTCTATTGAGAGGCCCACTTACCCGAAACCGCTTCAGCGTAAGTGCGAAGAGTCGGGATATCAACAGCGTCGGGGTCTCCCTCAAGGGCTAGCAGCATGGCACAGAGGTGGGGAGCAGCGGCCGCAAGGAACTATAGCTCTAATTATCTGTCCTCTAGGACGTCACGGCCAAGGGCAAGAACTCCCCCGGCGGAGAGAGGACGGGAAGCAGGAGCAGGCACCAACTGGGTGGCGTAGTCAAGGCGGCGGGTGGATGCAAATCCAGTGACAGCGGTGACAAGAGACAAAACGGATGACAGAGACGCGGTAGGGCCAGTCACAAGAGAGGAAAGGACATGAGATACAACATGGCGAGTAGTGCGGAAGAAGTCAAGCAAAGGTGGAGGAGGGGTGTGGAGAGACGACGCATGAGGTAAAGGAAGAAGAGAAGGCGGCGGAACACGACAAGGGAGGGTACGAAGGAATAGGGAGAACATGAGACGAGGAACGAGCCCCCGGAGAACGACGGAGGTAGGTCGAGGCAAAAGACGGAGAAGGAGGAAATGGACGAGACAACAGTGACCGAGCAGGATAACGAGCAGGAGACGCATCAGGGGGAGAAAACTGAGGACCATAAACAGGTGGAGACGGCGAGTGGTCTGAAGAAGGGGAAGGAAAACCAACAGTCCGAAGACCACTCACAGGTGGCGACGACCGCTGCTGCAGTGGCTGTTGTTGTTGTTGTTGTTGTTGTTGTTGTTGTTGTTGTTGTTGTTGTTGTTGTTGTTGTTGTTGTTGTTGTTGTTGTTGTTGTTGTTGTTGTTGCTGCTGCTGCTGCTACTGCTTCTGCGTCTGCGGCTGCAGCTGCTACTGCTGGTGCAGCTTCTGCTGCTGCTGCCGCTGCTGCTGTAAAAGCTGTAACCTCACCGAACGCCGCTGGGCCACTGGGGTAGGCTCTCCAGAGGTAGTGCCTCCAACACCAGCAGCTCCAGCTCCTGCAACCCCAGCTCCAACACCTCCAGCTCCATCACCCCCAGTGTCAGCACCCCCTGAACCAGCACCACCAGTGTCAGCACCCCCAGAACCAGTACCACCAGCGTCAGCACCCCCAGAACCAGCACCACCAGCCTTAGTATCCTCAGAACCAGCGCAACCAGCGTCAACACCCCAGGGTCCCTGCAACATGCGGCGAATGCGAGGACAACGTAGGGGACTGTGGTGAGGGAGACGACACCGGAGGTGCAGCTGCGGGAGGAGGGGTTGCATGAGACACACCAGACGGGGCAGGACCAGGGTGGGTTGGGAGTACCGGAGGAGCAGGACCAGGAGGAGCGGTGGGAACGAGAAAGAAGGGAGGAGAGGGAACCGGGAGACCTCGGTGGGGTTAGCGGACATAAAAGGACACCAACTCTTCAGAATTGACTTCCCGGGAGTCGAAGAACCGGTGGGTGGAAGGGTGATAGAATTGAAAGTCATGGGCGTCAGCCGGGAAACCAAGGAATACACTGGGGAGGGAGCAGGCCGAGAGCTTGTCCGCGCGAGGATCGCGAACATGCGCAAGGCAGCCCCACACACGAAACGCATACGCGACACCCAGGGACCCGGCCCAGAGACGAGTTGCTGATGCGCAGCATAGCGAACCGCATAGGGCCACAAAAAGCGGGGCCCACTGGCATGGACCATGGAGGTACGGGCGATCTCCATGACCAAGCCTATGCGGCACTCTGCAACCCCACTCTACTGAGGCAAGTCCGGAAGCATGAAGGACTGTGTGATGCCCTGCTGCGGCAAGTATGTTGGAGCGAAACTCACCCTCACGGTCGGAGTAGATAGCGCACAGGCAGGCCGCGCTGGACACGAGTGGCCAATATCCACGGGATCAGAGCGTTAGGCATGTCGGCCTTCCAGTGCAAAGGAAACACAGTGGTGTAGCGGGAGTAGCCGTCCACAACCACAAGGAAGTAGCTCTTCCGACCCGGCCCAAAGACCGGGGCAGGGCCCCAGACGTCCATGTGTAAAGTTTGAAGAGGCGCCGTGGCTGGCGCGAGGGAGGAGGAGTGAGGGGTGGCACGCTGCCGACCTTGGACCCAAGGAGTGCACAATAGAGCAGGCAAAGGAGGGAGCGGAGGAGAAGACAACGGGAGACCTGAGACAAGACGTTGCCTAGCCATACGAAGGAGACGAGGGAGGAAAGGGTGACTTAGGCGGTGGTGCCACAGGATGGACGGGTGGGTGAGGGACCAACATGTACACAACGCATCAACCTGACCAGACGCAGACACCTGGGGGGACGCAGTGTGCAGTGTGAAGAGACCTGACGAGGGCTCCCGGGCAAACGTGGCTAGACATGCACAAACCTCTCGCATGCTAGGAAAGTGGTCGTGACCCCACGGTCCTGCAGGTGTCCAACACCAATCAAGTTCCTGGAGAACGAGGGGATGTGGAGGCCTATGAGTGTACCAGAGGGTACACCCAAACACGGGAGCATGGTAGTACTGCGAGCGTCAGCTGGACTTGACATGGGGTTAGCCAAAGTAAATGTGACTGGTGAGGGAAGTGGCGTGACAGTGGTGTGGTTCGGAAGAAACACTCGGACATGCCGGAGTCAAGCATGAAGAAAAGTGACGCGCCAGCAGCGGGCACACCTGGACTAGTAGCAACACAA